TGAGCCTTCCAGGTGGAAGTGATTTTCCTCCCCCAGGCTCCTTCTATCGGTTTGGACCTCTCCTGTGCACGTATCAAGTTCTCCCTCGAATCATAGTTATTTGTGTTGATGTTCTGTCTCCATCCCAGAAGATAACGAGTTCCTTAAGGGCAAGGCTTTGGTGGTGTTCATCTTTGTTATGTCCAGAACCTAGAACACAATGCCTTACACATAATAGACACATAAATAATGTTTATTAGAAATGAATTGTGCTGGAACACATGTGAATAAAAGAATACCTACCTGCACATTGGCTTCAGTGTAGTTATGTGAAAATGAGATTTTACATTGGGCAGGAGCTCACAGATGTTTGCACTTACAGTTTACACCAACTTAAGGTTGGTGATCCTCCCTAGCATACACTATTACACCATGCCATCTCTCATTCCTCTTCTGTGTGGACTGCAAACAAGAAAAAATCCTGTACCACAAGCTACAAAACTTGCCAGATGTATATAATCCCTGGGACTCCACAGTAGGCTGGACTGTACCACTTGTGCAGCTCCTCAGGGGACTCAAGAAGTCTCCCAACAAACACACTCAGAGCTGGAGGAAAGTTCAACAGGCAAACAGAAAGGACCACAAGCTGGGTGGCTGGAAAGAGGCAGGAAAGGAGTCTGGGCCCAAGACAAGAGAAAGGGAAGGAGAGACAAGAGTAAGCAAGAAGACATTGACAGTAGGGGAAAGAAATGTTTAAGGGCACTGGGAAGGAAGTCCACATAAGGAGTCAAGGGAGATGAGGAAGGCTCAGAACAAAGGCAGGTCCTGCTGAGAACCATAAGGTAGTATCACTGAGCACCTGGGCAAAAGCAGCTGGGCGCTATAATAGGAGTCTCCCAACTTACCACGCCTCTTGACATCTACTCCTCACCAAAAATCAACGAGTACCAGAATCATTTATGGCAAGGAATGGAGTCTTCCATATGGTCTCCATGCTAAATCGGGGTGCTTTCTGTCAGCGAAAGGTGGCACAGATGGAGTGAGTTTTATGTGCATGGGAACATTAAAAAAAGAAAATTTTAAAACAATAAAACTGACAAAGTGAACCAGAGATGGGAATATTTTTCTACCAACAGCCTTTGACCCAGAGAAGTCAACTGAGATCTACAAATAAAAAGCAACTAATTTTAAGTTTTGTCACTTCAAGAGAAAAATACGTAATATTCGATTTGCCTTCATTTTAAAATTAGGAATTGGAAACATACCATTTTATTCAACATGTATAACAAAGAACCAAAAAAAAACCACGTTTGAATCCTGGAAGTCACACTTACTAGCTGTGTAACTTTGAGCAAGTCTCTCCCCCCCCTCCAGTCTGATTCCTCATCTATAAAATGGGAATATAAATACACTACCACTTGTGGTGAGGCAAGTACTTTGTGCAACAAAGTGTTATCAAAATGTCAGTTATTATCATCAAAGGGAGACAAAAAAGGGAGGAAAGGAGATGACAGAATAGGAAAACAAGACAGATAATGTGAGAGAGAAGATAGAAAAGGAAAATGCAGAGAAGGAAGAGAGTGATGCAAGTGTGAAGACTGGGAGGAGAGAAAAGGAGAGCAGAAGGACTGACAAGGACGTGGAGATACAAGAGGGAAGCTCAAGATGCTTAGTGCAGTGAGCAGGAAGCCTATTCCTCTGTCACACCCTATTGTTTACTTAGACTGTCACACCAGAGCAAATCATTACCTGGAAACACTATTCTCCAGTAGTCCTTTCTTCACTAGGAAGCAGTTTGCTTTTTATGTTCAACCTGCAGAGTATATTTCTGAAATAAAAGTTTATTTTTCCTATGGAAGTTCTGTGCTATGTAAAACAATGATTTCGGTTTTAGAAATTCACTTTAGAAACTCTTCAATTATTAACTCATTTAGCGTCTATGCCTGGAAGTACACTTTTAGATTCAAAAGCCATCAAACTGCCTTATCTTTAAGGCAGAGCTGCCTCTTTTCATAATGCCCAAAGGTTACATTTGAAACTAACATTCAGTTCATTATTTTGAACGTTCTCCCCACCTTCAACAGAATTGAGGGTATTTTTTAAAAAATCTTTGGCCCTAGTGGGGAAAAACAGGGACCAAAAAGAAATTACTGGAAGCCCTTTCAGGAACAAATGGGTCTGAACTACTACTCATAGCTTCAGTCTGTTCTTATCAAACTTTAAGAGGCTCTCAAAGGGACAAAAATAATGGGCCTCTGTTGGTGAATTCTGCTCAAGACTGCGGCACAGTGAGCAAAGCAATATCACCTCCATATGGTACTTATGAGAGATAGTCAGCCAGAAAATTAGTGAAATACAGCTTTTGTCCAATATTATTATCTTGCTAGGAAACAAATCGTGCATCTCAGTGAATAGCAACAAGAGGGAAGTAACATCTTTAATTTAACAATTACAGTTAGTCAAGGGTGTCACCTTAGGAATCATCATTTTGTGGCTTCGGTTCAAAAGCTAACATCCCACCCTCCACTCTAGTCCGAGCCCTGTAACCCAGTACTAATAAGCCTAACACATAAATCTGGGTGAAAACTAATTTGAGCCACCAAGTAAAAAGGAAGCTCTGCAGTAGCCCCTGCAGACTTCACCCGCCTTACCAAATGACTCCTTTAAGCACTCTGTTGAATATGTTAATGCAGTATAGAGTAAGAATACCCCCCTCAAAATGTAAAATATTGCCAATGCACCTGGCAAACTTAAAAAGAAAAAGGCCTCTCATTCATCATGGGAAATTCCTTAGATGAGGGACCCAAGGAGTTGTCGACAGCAAGGGAGTCAAGTCAAGCTCAATTTCTCCATTCTTTATTAAAGCTAGGTTCTCCAGCTGACAAGGGTGAGTATGGGATGGATGCATTTGGGGAGGGGGAGGCAGGAAGGGGGCCAAGGGGAACACAAGACATGCACATGAAGAGACATGCCAGATGTGGAAAGGGATGGCATCTGGATCCCGGCACTGCTACAGAAAACTTCTGTCGTTTCCGCGGCTCCTTTTCACCTCTCCAGGAATGCAGCACACAAACCCACTTCCCTCCCTGACACCCTATTTCTAGGGCTTCTGCTCCTCCTAGGGAAAGGGCAGAAATTGCTATGTAGGACACTGCTCATAGCTCAGGCACCATAATCTTTCTTGCCCAGGTATGATTGAGCCAAGAGCCAAGATAATGCTGCATAACTGATCAATATACGTGATTTCCCCCAAACATCGCTAATCCCCTCTGCATCACCACAAACCCCCTTTGTCCCCTCCCCTCCTATTCACCCCCAACCCCATATCACTTTTTAACCCTTCCCTGCTACTTTCCCAACCCGCCCTCCCCCCCTTTCTAAGGCCTACCTCCCAAACCCACCAACTATTTGTGCTTCCCAACCCCAATTTCCCCAAAGACCCTCAGCAGCCCTGCTTCTCTCCCTCCTGGCCCTCAACGCCACGCCTACATTACAGCAAGTGAAGTTGTAATGAATGAAATTGGATTCAAAATGGCAATTTTTTGGTACCGTTCAGACTGGCAAAGAAACAAAATGGTTTGCTGGTTATTTCCCAAGATGCCCTTCGCTGCTTTTTAAACTAATTGTGCAGTGTAGACTATAGAGTACTTTGCACATAATAGGCATTCAATAAATATTGGTTGTTCTGAATCCTAACTTGGTTATTAATTCACCATCTTTCTTGTGCAAATTACCTAACTTCTTAGTGTCTCCATTCCCTGCTCTATGAAACAGGAATGCTACTTTTCTATGGGAGTACTGCTTGTAAACAGAAATACGACTTACCTCTAGTAATGAAACTATAGAAAAAGAACTGGAAAGGACCTCCAGAGGTCATCTGGCCCATTCCCCTGCCTATAGGCAAGTGCATCTATCCTATTCCTAAAGATCTCTAGGAAAGAGATTCTATGACCTCCTTCAGTCAGTCACTCACAGCAGTGCTTAATTATACTTTAATCTATGAAGTGTTAAGTTCAGAAGAAAGGTGCTAAGTGAACCATATCAGCTTCAGGAGACATTCTAACCAGTTTGTGTGAAGATGCTAGTGCAGAGAATCTCTAGGTTTAGGGAAGATTTGGGAAGCAACAGAGCTTTTCCCGGTAACTGTGTTCACTTCCAGGCGAGTTTACTGTGGAAACAATGAATCTATTTTACTTTAACTCACAATAGAGGGAACTCCAGAGAGGTGATCTACACCACTCAAAGAACTCACTAGAAGCAGCCTCATGGTTCACATAAACATGTGGTTTTCCACAGGCCTCTTTGTGCAACATACTTCTTTGCCTCTAGCTCTAGACCAGAGGTAGAGACAGCCAAGAATTCTAGAGAGATGATGGGAACTATAATCCACTTGACTACTATTGTCAAACATGCTACCGACCATTGATGACAAGGCAAACTGGCCTATCTAATTAAGCCCGACGTCAGGCTGTGAGAAGTGTGGCAATGGATGGAGTGCATTCAATCCGAAGCATAAGGCCTCAAATGTGCTTCTTCTCCCCTGCTGTGGAAACCTAGTCTCTATAACCCAACTTTTACCAGCCCACAAACATAATGAGCTAGTTCATCTTCCCTCCAGAATACTTAGGATTTCCAGCAGAGAAGACAGTAATAGAATCAACATTCTTGACTACTATCCTATCAGTTGGTTCTATGATTCAACTTCAAGGCATGATCACAAAGAAGTAACATTAAAAGTTTTCTCAGTTTTGCTTCAATTTCCTTGGGCTAGAAACATAGATCTAATCTCTTTGGAATTCCTCTAAGCTTTCTTACCCACCGATCCACAAAAATAGAGAACATAAGAATGACAGAGCTAGGAGGTACCTTAGGACATAGAATGTCAGAGCTGGAAGAGACCTTAGGACAGAATATGTCAGCAGTGGAAGGGGCCTTAGAATACAGAACACTGAATTTGGAAGGAACCTTAAAACATCAAACACAGAATGTCAGAAGTGGACAGGACCTTAAAACATAGAATGTCATAACTGGAAAGAACTTCAGAACATAGAAAACAAAATGTTAGAGATGGAAGAGGCCTTAGAAATTATCTAGTCTTACCCCTAGAATAGGGACTTAACTTGCCAGAGTGATGCCAGTTGGCATCAACAGGAATTACCAGGTTGTTACATCACTTCCTAGTCAATATTAAAATGAACTGAATTGACCTGAAGTCACCCATTAACCAAACACTTTTTACAAAATTAGTTGAGAAGAGGGGGGGAATTCCATACCTGCAAGTTAAAAGTCACTCAGCTCCATCCACTGCACCTGCAACCCAGACTTAAGCTTTGTTTCACAGACACCCCTGCTCCCCTTATCTAGTCCCATGCTACCAAGCAAGAGCCTCCTTCTGTTGCTCAAACCCAGGCTTACAGAGAAGAAAACCATATGAGGGGTTTTTCCACCCAATTCTGCATCCGAGTAAAATAAATAACACCACCATTCATGACTATTGGTTTGCTCTACTATATAAGCCCCAAATGGCATCATATTCCAGGCTGCTGCAACGCCAACCTTCACTCTTCTGCATCTTTTCTCTCCTTCAATCTTTCCTAAACCCCAGCTCTCACCCCACCTGGCCCAAAGGCCACCTCTTCCTTGCCAGCCCCATTCAGAAATGTAGCTTCCTACTAGAGAACTGGAGCAGGAGAGAATCACAAATGTGAGGAGCTGGGAAGTGCCAGGGGCTTCAGAGAAAACAGCTAAGCCCAACTCCCTCCCACCTGGGTCACGGTCTAAAGAGAGAAGTAGGAAGGAGCATGAAGTCAGGTGACACACAGGAGATCTCACAGGGGTTATTTCCTGTACCCAGCTCCCTGTGCATGAGGAGTCACAAAGGGAAGGGACAAATGGTCTCTTGGGACTTGCCTCCTCCCACCTCCCTCCTCACCCACCTCACATGAGGGTCTCCTCATAAGAGCAGGAGGGGACAGGGAACATGGTGGGTTCCTCAGATGCAAAGCTAGAGTTTCCCCCAAATTCCACCACAGTGTTACTACTGTCCTCTTTCTCCCCAGAAGGCCTACTGGCTTGGTTCTGCCCTGGCCCTTCCACTTTGGCTGCTGGCCCAGTTGTCGTTGTCCCACGATGAGTCTTCATGTGGGTGAGGAGATGAGAGCTCTGGGAGAATCGACGGCCACAAGCTGCACACGCATAGGGCCGTTCCCCTGTATGCGTTCGCTGGTGGGTGACCAGCACAGAGCGCTGTGAGAACCTCTTCCCACACTCAGGGCAAGGGAAGGGCCGCTCACCCGTGTGACCCCGGCGGTGCTTAGCCAGATTAGAGCGCTGAGCAAAACCCCGTCCACAGTCTGCACAACGGAAGGGCTTTTCCCCAGTATGGGTTCTTCGGTGCCTCTTAAAGTCTGAACTATGGCCGAAGCCCTTGCCACAGTCAGGACACCGGTGTGGCTTCTCCTCTGCATGTGCCCACTGGTGCCGAGTCAGGGCTGCACTCTGCCCAAAACGCCGCCCACACTCCCCACAGGCATAGGGCCGTTCTCCTGTGTGTGCCCGCCCATGGGCTGTCAGGTGGGCCCTGCGGCTAAATCCAGCCCCACATACCCCACACACAAAAGGTTTCTCCCCAGTGTGGCCACGCACATGGGCAGCCAAGTGGGAGCCTCGGGCAAAGCGAGCCCCACACTCTGGACAGGGGAAAGGGCGTTCACCTGTGTGTGTGCGCCGGTGCCGTGCCAGGTGAGACCCATACACAAAACTCTTCCCACAGTCTGCACAGCGGTGTGGCCGGTCCCCAGCATGGTAGCGCTGGTGCTTAGCCAGGGCTGCCCGACGCCCAAAGGTCTTTCCACAGTCAGAGCATATCCATGGAGTCTCTTCTTCCAACATGGAAGAAGGCTGGGGGTCAGAAAGGAGGCTCCCAACTGAAGGGCCAAAAGATAGCAATCCACTGGCACAAGGGTCACAAGGCATTGCTGTCCCATCAATTAGAGAGATCTGACTCCCTAAATGACCAGGGATAGGGGGAGCATCAACCAACTCGTGGGCCACCCTTTCTCCAAAATCCTGAAGGGCTAACATTGGGAGGTTCTCTCCATGAAGCCAAGATTTGGGTGGCAGTGGGAAATGGAAGTCAAGAGGGTGAGAAGGACCTTCCCCTTCCCCAAAGCCATTCCCCAATTCAGGGTAGTTCCTATCTATAACAGAGCCTTCGTTTACAGGGTCCAGACTCTCCCCACCCAGCTCGGGTCCCTCACTCTCTTCTCTTCTTGCTTCTTCTCTAAGATCAGAGCACTTCCCTCCCCTTCGATGACGCTGGAAGTCTGCTCGAAGTCTAAAGGCCCGTCCACAATCAGAGCAGCAGTGAGGCTTCTCCGCAGTGTGGACAGCCTGGTGGCGGGCAAGGGCCGAGCTCTGACTGAAACTGCGGCCACATTGGGGACAAGGGTATGGCCGCTCACCTGTGTGGGTGCGCTGGTGTGTCACGAGATAGGATCGGCGTCCAAAGCCAGCCCCACAAAAGGAGCAGCGGTAGGGCCGCTCACCTGTGTGGATACGTCGGTGGGTTACCAGGTGGGACTTATAGACAAAGCGCTTGCCACAGTCAGGGCAGGGGAAGGGCTTCTCTCCTGTGTGTGTGCGCTGATGAATAGCCAGATGAGAACGATAAACAAAACCCTTTCCACACTCTTCACAACCGAAAGGCTTCACAGCTGCATGGTAGCGACGGTGCTTGGCCAACCCTGACCGATGAGGGAACACCTTCCCACACACATCGCACGTTGTCTCTGGCCTGCCCCCAGCTGCTTCCACCACTGCTGAGAATGCCCAGGGGGGCAGGAGTGGGGCACCTGCCTCCCCACTATGAAGAATGGGCTTGATCTCTTGTCCTTCAGTGATCATGCCCATATTTGAGGGGTCTCCTCCCCATAAATCTGTTGGCTGGACCTGGATGGAATCATCAGGTCCCCAGGTTCCAGGGACATCTCCCACACCATAGGCTGCTGACCATACTCCTGGTGGCTCCGATTCCTCAGGGGTCTCTAGAGGACCTTCTTCTTCATCCTCATCTTCATCCTCCTCATCCTCATTCCAGAACCAACCACCTAAAAGAGAAAGAAAAAGACAGCTAAGAAAGGGGCACCCTGCACATAGCAGGTCCTTGAAAAGGAGTGTGGTACGGCTTTTTTAAAAATGCATTTATTTTAGAGCAATAAGAGGTAGTTTTGAGTTCCAGCTCCAGCACAGACCAGCAGTACAAGTAAACACCTGGGCAAGCTGTTTAATCTTTCTTTGCTCATCTATTAAAATGAGGGCAGTAATACTTGCACTCCCAACTTCATAGGACTATAGTGAGGGAACTGCTGTGTAACCTTTAGAGAAATAGGAGTTGTTTTTATTATTATTCTACCCTCTTTCTCCTGTGCCTCATTATGGTGTGAAGATGATAACTGATTCACTTCCCAAAGGCTGTATGTCAGAAGAATACAAATTCTAATAGGTCCTTCCAAGTTGGAAAGATGTTAAGTCTGGTGATCACAGTGAGTCTATCATGTGAGGACTAGCCTCAGTAAATTGAGAGAGGTTCCTAACACAACTGGCCTCAGGGTAATGATTTTTCAGTCATGGCGACTCTCAAAGAGTATCTAATAAGGCAAAGAGGGCTTGTAATCTGCATTGGTGGAGGGAATACCCACACCAAGAAAATCAGATCATTCAACCAAAACCACAACAATAAATGATGTCCATTGTTCAAAGTCAAGAGGACAAAAACAGAACGTTATCAAGAAAAGATATATAATAACAATTTCTTTAAAAAATAAAAGCACAGTGAGTTTAAAAAAAAAAAAACAGGAAAAGTCTAAGGAAAACCATGCCCTCGCCATGAAAGTTTTCAGAAGGTTTATTTTGCCTGCTAGCATCAAAATCAATCATCAAAATCAATCAATCAACAAACATTAATTAAGCATTCAATCACCAATAAGATTTCTTTAGTGGCTCAATAACACAGGCCACACCTCAAAGCTCAACCACCAGAAAATTCTTCTCCCAAGTAATTATGGTGACTGATCAGCTACGTGGTGAGACCAGGCCTATATGCAAAGCAGATAATAAAAGGAACTGGTTAACTCAGAAAACTATCTCAGCTCCCACTGCTTAAGGACATTTGAGGATGAGTTCAACGCTCGTTTAAGTCAATCATATTCCATATAAACACAGAGTCTTCGGTCTGAAAAGGACTTATGAGGTCATCTGTTCAGGCCACTAACAAACGGAAGAATTCCCCATCAAATACCCATGACAAATGGTTACCCAGCCTCCAGGTGAATACCTCTGGTGACACGGCACTCTATGCCCCCAAGGCAGCCCATTTCATTACTGGACTGTTTTACTAGTTAAGACTTTTTTTATATGTAAGACAAAAATCTAAAATCTACCTCTTGAAACTCCTACCCACTGCAACTAGTTTTGCCCTCAGGGGCCAAGCAAAATATGTCTAATCCTTCTTCCATATAGACCTTCAAATACCTGAGAACAGCTGTTATTGTACCACACATAAATGTTCTCTTTTCTAGATTAACCAAGTTCAGTTGCTTAAATAGTTCCTTAGGGGATCACAGATTTAGAGCTCAAAGGGCCCTCAAAGGCCATCAAGTCCAACCCCTTAATTTTAGAGATGAGAAAATCAAGGCATACAAAGGTTGAGAGACTTGTCCATTTTCCAGGACAGTTTTAAATATTCTCTCCATCACAGTCATCCTCTTCATGAATTCTCCAGCCTGAATAAATGCCTAAATATAACCCCTGAACTGAATATAATACTCCATTTGTAATTTAACCTTGGATCCAGTTACCTTTCATGAGGTATATGAGGAAATCACTATATAATTTCTTCAAAAAATATTCCATTGTGCTCAAATGTGTTAAAATGTTTGGGGGGGGGGGAGGTCTGGTCCCTTTAAGAAACAAGTTGACCTGAACAACTTAATAAAGTTAACAAAGAAGAAAAGAATTAAAAAGAAGAAAAATTTAACAAAGAAGTGATTCAGTGCTAATTGATAACAGAGAAAGGGAGATGTTATTTGAGTGGTTGCTAAGGTAATTTTTCCTAGATGAGAAGGTGAATCCAAAAAAGGTACCAATACACCACACACTGGGCATATCTGCATATACCTGAAACTAAGCTGTGAAATAGAATATGTGACCTTTTATGTTTCAAACTTGGAACAGAAAAGATCAAGAAAAAGGGGAAATTTGGCTTAAAGTTTTTCCTGAAATAATCAATACGGCAGCCCCTTCCCCTCTTAGGGTAACCCCCATGCACAAACTACAGCTATCAACTACACCTTATGAATACAAGCAGCAGGAGAGAATCCTATAGGGAGTTTTCATAGCTTAAGGCAAAAAGGTGAAAGGTAGATCCCCAAAGCCTGAGGGCTCTCAAGAGGCCTGAGTGCTCAGAAGCACAGTCAATGAGAGAAAGTAAAGGTGTTCCTAGGAATGAAAGAAAAGCCAGAGTTAACCTCGAAGAGATCTCTCAAAAATTCATTTAGTAGGTGAAGGTTCTTAACCCATGTGGGTTTTTTAAACATTATTTCAATATATCAAGCATCTTCAATTTCATCTGACCATGCCTTACACAGATACAGATTAATTATAAACCTATTATACCTCAGTAAACTTTCTGTATATGGAACTCTACATAAGGAAATACCCTCTATCAATGCAGAGCAGCATTTACACAGCAATTTTATAATTTTTTAGAGAGGTGCCTGCCCTCGGGCATTTACATATACATGGCATAGTAGACAGAGCCTGCCTTGACTTCAGGATGACAGGTGTTCAAGCCCCGTGCTAGGCAAGTCCCTAATCTCTCAAGTAATTCTCTTAGAACTACCTGTCTACATCTGCGGACCATTTATCTTTTGGGCAACAACCCTGAATCTTTTGATTCCTTTGAATCAGTTCCCTGCCATGGATAGCAGGCCTCTGTCAGATAAATTTGCTTCTAATTCTAACTGCACTGATTTCATTTGTGCCAACACATTTTCATTTTATGCAATCTAAATTTTCATTTTACCTCCCGTGATCCTCAAGAATTCTTCCTCTATCCACAGTTACAAAAGGTTATCTCTCTCCCCTACTCTTCTAATTCTTCTACAATGTGACCTATATCATTTTGGAGCCTATTTGGGAAAACGGAGGGAGGTGTTGGTCTAAACTTAATTTCTGCTAGACTGCCTTCCAGTATTCCCAGTCGGTTTCAATTATTCTAGTAATTTGCCCCAATAATCTTTACCCTAGTAGTTGCTGCTACTGGATTTATTGAACATTTATGCCAATATATTCGTTTGCTTCTGGATCTTATGTTCCTACTGATCAACTTTTCTATTTTTCAACCAGAGTCGAATAGTTTTGATATCTTTTATAGTAGTTTCTGAGATCAGATACAGCTAGGACCCCTTCCTTCTCTCTTTCATTACTGAGATTCTTGATCTTTTGTTCATCTAGATTAATTTTATTACTTTTCTACTCCAAAATAGTCCTTTGGTAGTCTGATATGGCAATTAATAAGCAAATTAATTTGAATAGCATTGTCATTTTATTGAATTCATATCCAACAATTAATCTCTCCAGCTATTTAAGTCTGTATTACTATAAAAAAATATTTTATAGTTGCATTCATGTAATTCCTGTGGATGTGCTAGTATTTGGCCTCCCAAATATTTTATGCAGTCTCTAATTATTTTGAATGGAATTTCTCCACCCCTTCTAGCTAGTTTATACTGGTAACATGCCAAAAGCCTGATGAATTTATGTGGGTTTATTCTATATCCTGCCATTCTCCTGAAGTTAATTGTTTCAATTAATTTTAGCTGAATCTCATATCATCTATAAAAAGCAACAAATTTCCTTTTTTGACTATATTCCCTCAGTTTTTTTTATCTTAATGCTAGAGCTAGCATTTCTATCAATACATCAAATAATAGTGATGATAATAAACATCCTAAAAGGACAGCCTCTAACATTTCTCCATTACACGTAACGCTGGCTCTAGGCTTAGATAAAATCTACCATATTAAAGAAAAGTCCGTGTATTCCTATGTTTCTGAGGTTTTTTTTTTTTAACATAAATCAGTATTATATTTTGTTAAAAACTTTGTTAGGCCTTTACTACTGCTCTGACTTCACTTTTGTTCCCCCATCAATTTCAAGCCATTTCAACTGTATACTGTCTGTCCCCTTATTGCGAATCCCTTGCCAAACCTCAATCCTGGATTACTCTCACCATCTGCCTCCTACGCTCCTATTCACAAGTGCTAAACAAAACTGGAGGAAGCCTCACAACCATACTGACTTGGTACATTACAAACTTACGGTACTCAGTGTCAAATGGGTCCTCATTGTAGCAAGACACTAGTTTTCCTAATGACCTATTATCTCACAGAAGCTATTCCAAAGCTTGTCTCCACTCCGCAAACCCACCACACCTCCTGTAACCCCTTACTTTTAATTAAGGACTTTGCTTCTTTACTGAAAATAGAAGAAAGGACTATTCAATATGAGTACCACTTCCTCACACTCTCTTCATAACATCATCTCCAGCTCCTTCCTCCTTTCCCTCAGGCTCTGACAAAAACGTGACTCCTCTCTTCACCAACTTGACCCCTCTACATGTGCATTTGATCCTATCCCCTCTGTCTTCACTAGCAGGCTGCATCCTCTCTTAAATTGTTATCTCCCTATCAAATGGCTCCTTCCCTACTGCCTTTCAACATGTCTAAGTGTACTCCATCCCCCCCCAAAAAAAACCCTCCACACACACACATACACTACTCTCAAATTATGATCCTACATCCCTCCTCTTCTTCATCCAAACTCCTTGAAAAAATTATCTACACTTTCTTCACATCCTCTCCTCTTACCACTCAATTAAATTTAGAACAATTAAATTGTTCTAAAATTAGCAATAATCTCTACAATTCCAAATCTGATGCTCTTTTCTCAGTCCTAATTTTCTCAGCCTCAGACACTGTTGACTACCCTATCTTCCTACATTCTCTCTTCCCTAACCTTTTATGACCCTGCTATCTCAATTCACTTC